TCCATAAGGTGACCAAGTGACCGGGTAGTCGCTTGCCGGGTCCCCGATCCTGAGGTTTCAGGATCATCCGAACGCGAATTTGGAACTCCGATTCCTGTCGAGTTTGGATTATAATCGCGTCTCCCATTATCAAGCGAGGGGTTATTGTCCAATAATAATGTTAAGAGTTCAAACGTTCAAGCTTGGAGCTCATAATATCATTTCTCAGAATCTTCGGTCAATTAAACATCGAGCATCGTGAGTACTCCTGATGCATACAAGTTGGACTTTGTAACTCGCGTCCTGGACACTGGGGAAACAATCTGCCAATAACTCCGCCGTTGCATCACAGGCTTCGCGGGATGTATATCGATGAATATTGAATTTCCAATCAGAAGCAACCGAAACGGCGGGATTGACAAAACTCGACCTACATGAACATGCCAAGCCCGGCACATTCATAAGCGAGCACGGCACATTCAGCGACACGCACGGCACATTCGGCCATCCCCGGCATATTTGTGACAAATGTGCCGGCTCTGAGATAAAGCACGGCACATGATAGCCGCTATCTGCCGGGACTCGGCAACACAAGGGTCATTGCCAAGGCCGAAGTCCGTCAAGTCGGAAACAACGAAACAAAGTACTAGTAGCTTGCAGAGAGCACAAGCAGTGTGCATTACAACAACTAGTAAGCAGGATAATTGGTTGGGATTACTTGATATCATCATTATTTGCTACAGTTACTACAGTAACATAATACACAATACTGTAACTGACACAAAACTGACACAATGGTGGGAGAGCGCCCTCGTCGATCACGCGCGTCTATAGCGCGCACGGAGGGTACATCCGTTTGGCTCCAGGCCGGGGGGTTTGCTTACCGGGGTGTGGTGTCGCGAGGGACGAGATTTGTTGGGGGCGCAGGGTTTGGACGGCGGCGGCAGGGCGGGCTGGTGTGGGACTCGCGCAGGCATGGAGACCATCCTTCTCGAGCCACCGCCGCGGCAGGCTGCGATCCGCGCATCCCAGCGCTCGCGGAGAAAATGCGCGGCGCTGTCGGCGACTCGCGCTGGACCTTGCACGTTCGCGTTGCATCTTGCACCTCGCGCGCATCCGCATCCGCGAACCGTCCCGCGCGTCTCGTGGCCGCGGCGGAATAAAATTAGCGCGTCCGGAAACGCGCGGCGTAGGGGACTCACCAGGGACACTCGCGCATGCGTTGCGTCCGCCGGCGAGGCGCGTTCTCGGACATTGACATGACTCGCACCCAACTCGCACCTCGGTGGTTCCAGCCCGAATCTCCGAAGTCCCCATCGTGGATTTGATCCTTCGTCGTCGGCGGGCGTCATCGGTGTCGAGGAAGCACGCTGAGGGGCAGTGGGATGGTAGGGGATGGTGGTGAGAGGAAAGCGGCGATGGAAATTGCCACCGCACGTGTTCATTCCGGCAGAGTTTGCCGAGGTACACCAAAATAGTAAGTGTCGCCTCTCGAGGAAAGGCGGGCCATTGATGACAATGTACCGTGTTTGATCTGAATCGCACGGCTTTCTTAGGATTTCATAATGTTCATGTAGGTCGAGTCTTGTACATCCTCAACGGATCCAGAAGCCAGATAGAGGATGTACAAGACTCGACCTACATGAACATTATGAAATCCTAAGAAAGCCGTGCGATTCAGATCAAACACGGTACATTGTCATCAATGGCCCGCCTTTCCTCGAGAGGCGACACTTACTATTTTGGTGTACCTCGGCAAACTCTGCCGGAATGAACACGTGCGGTGGCAATTTCCATCGCCGCTTTCCTCTCACCACCATCCCCTACCATCCCACTGCCCCTCAGCGTGCTTCCTCGACACCGATGACGCCCGCCGACGACGAAGGATCAAATCCACGATGGGGACTTCGGAGATTCGGGCTGGAACCACCGAGGTGCGAGTTGGGTGCGAGTCATGTCAATGTCCGAGAACGCGCCTCGCCGGCGGACGCAACGCATGCGCGAGTGTCCCTGGTGAGTCCCCTACGCCGCGCGTTTCCGGACGCGCTAATTTTATTCCGCCGCGGCCACGAGACGCGCGGGACGGTTCGCGGATGCGGATGCGCGCGAGGTGCAAGATGCAACGCGAGCGTGCAAGGTCCAGCGCGAGTCGCCGACAGCGCCGCGCATTTTCTCCGCGAGCGCTGGGATGCGCGGATCGCAGCCTGCCGCGGCGGTGGCTCGAGAAGGATGGTCTCCATGCCTGCGCGAGTCCCACACCAGCCCGCCCTGCCGCCGCCGTCCAAACCCTGCGCCCCCAACAAATCTCGTCCCTCGCGACACCACACCCCGGTAAGCAAACCCCCCGGCCTGGAGCCAAACGGATGTACCCTCCGTGCGCGCTATAGACGCGCGTGATCGACGAGGGCGCTCTCCCACCATTGTGTCAGTTTTGTGTCAGTTACAGTATTGTGTATTATGTTACTGTAGTAACTGTAGCAAATAATGATGATATCAAGTAATCCCAACCAATTATCCTGCTTACTAGTTGTTGTAATGCACACTGCTTGTGCTCTCTGCAAGCTACTAGTACTTTGTTTCGTTGTTTCCGACTTGACGGACTTCGGCCTTGGCAATGACCCTTGTGTTGCCGAGTCCCGGCAGATAGCGGCTATCATGTGCCGTGCTTTATCTCAGAGCCGGCACATTTGTCACAAATATGCCGGGGATGGCCGAATGTGCCGTGCGTGTCGCTGAATGTGCCGTGCTCGCTTATGAATGTGCCGGGCTTGGCATGTTCATGTAGGTCGAGTTTTGTCAATCCCGTTGTAATCAGGGCAGGTAGGTAGGAAGTAGTCTAGTTTTTACCGCGGGGGTCGAACCGCGTCAGGATTGTATTATGCAATCGCGGAGTTTGAATAGTCACGTGCACCGTCGCGCTGCTCCTCATTCCTCCGCGACGACGCGTTTCCGCACGTCCCTTACGCTCTACCGCCATTTCAGCGCGAGTTTATCGTGTAAATAAGATCTGCCATGGATTCCGACAGCAATCTGCCCCAACTATCCCGTCACAACCTCGCAAATACAAGGACTACCGAGTAATCCTCGATCCCAATCCTGTGATCTCCCCTTGCTCCTGCCGACGCTGGATCATACAGGCTCGAGCATCTGCATATCAACCTTCTGCAGCCACCACTTTATCAGGGCCACTTCCCCGTTAACGACCTCGTCTCCGTCCCCGTAACAAGACTGGGAGGTAGGGATCCGCACCGTAACGTATCGGTACGGGGATACGTACGTACGTACGGACGGATGTCCGTACCGTGAGCGCTCAGCCCGCCCTCTGTGATCGCCGTACGTATACGGCTGAGACCCGTATTTTGCACGTATCCGTACGTACGTATCCCCGTATACGGATGGCCAAAAGTCGGTTTCCAGACGACCTCGGTGGAGCCGGAGAATATACCAGTGGGAGGGAAGCGGGAAAATAAGTTCGCGCACAGCGCGCAAGTCTACCCCCACCGATTAACCTGCCCTACGGCACGTCCTGCGCTCGGCGCTCCCAACGCGCCCTGTGCCGCGCACGCAGTGTCATCCGCGAATGAATCCGCGGGTTTGCGCGTGCGGCTCCAGGTAACGTGGCGCACATCTCGCCGAGTGCTCGTGCCCGCCCCGCCGAGCGCTCTCCGAGTCCCCTGCCGTGCGACCGAGGCAGGCGCGTCCTCCGCGCCCACGCCGCTTTGCGCAAATCCAACACGCCGCCCCCGATCTCCGCGCCGGCGCCACGCTCTTAGATCCATTGTCAGCGGCGCCGGCGCGTCCCCTGCGTTGCGCGCAATCAGCGCAGTGACCTCCCCCGACTTTCCGCCGCCCGGCGCACGTCCGCCGCGCGTCCCACTCGCCGCGTCGCGCCGGGATTCTCCGCGCCATGCTCGCGGCCGACCCTAGCGCATCGGAAACTAGCTTTAGTAAGTACAAATCAAGCGCTGAGTTGGATAACGCACCGTATAAGTTGAATTGAGTGTAAGTCAAGCGGGATAATCCGCCGATTTGCGCCGCCGGGTCGGGCTCGCGTCCGTGGGGAATCTCCAGGCGGCGGCGGCGCGCGTGCACCTCGAACGCGCATCAAAATCGGTAAAACTGCGACTTTTTAAGTATAGCTGTGGCGCTGAAATTGGATAACAACGCACCGTAGATGTTTGGTTCGGACGGGTTTAGATGATCGCGCGCCAAGGCGGCGCGAGGCGGGCGGGACGATCCGCCAATTATGATTTAAGGCTGCTCGGCGCCGTGCCTCGAATGCGTGCAGACTCGGGCGGCGCATCGAAATCTGACTTTAGTATTAACTAATAAAAATGAAACCCTGAGTCGGATTATGGATAACACACTGTTAGGGTCGGTTGGATTCGGCGTGCCCAGGCTCGCGCTCGCTGCAGATCGCAAGGTATAGGCACGCGCGTGCACCTCGAACGCGCGCAGACAGACGTGTCCGTCAACATATGTAAGAATGTAAGTACACTATTAGTAGCACTGAGATTGAACGACATGCCTTGAATATTTGGTACAGGCGGGCTCGCGCGCCAAGTCGGCGCGAGTCGGGCGGAACACAATCCACCAATTTTGGTCCGGGGTTGCTGCTACCTGGTAAGTGAACCGGCCGTTCACTCGAATGAAGGGACCGTAAGAGTCGCAGCAACGGGGACCGGGAAAGAGAACTGTGAGGAGCGCGAATAGACGGTGTGGAGGCGCCGCGCGTCAAGCGCGACGAGGTAATAGTGCAAGCGCGACGGGGCACGTGACTATTCAAACTCCGCGATTGCATAATACAATCCTGACGCGGTTCGACCCCCGCGGTAACTAACAGACTTCAACAAGTGAGGTACGAGCTTTTTTTTTGTTGAAGCGTCTGTCTAGGAGAGACTAGGTAGGAAGGGACGTTAACGCGCGTTGATAATAACATCGGTGCATCACATATGTACAGTGTACGTAGGCTCCTTCAAAGCTTCACATACTGCTGTACGAAAGCTTCTCTCATAAAAATTCACGGAAACGGGGAATTGAACCCCGATCTACCCTCACTCGGATTCAACGGCCGCGCTATCCCTTGCACCATATCCGAATACCCTCCCTCTGAGCTCGGGGGTCCCATCTGGTCCGAGACTCTGGGCGCTATGCTACTTTGAAGTGTTGTTTAAAACGAAGGTCTCTAAAACGAAGGTCTCTGTCAGTGGACCCGCTGGCGGGTCCGTGTAGATGTATGTAGCAGTACAGTCCGGTCTGTAATTCGTGATAATAATACACAATAAATCCAGTATCTACCTCGCACGCCCACACACCTTCTCAATTGAAGCTCGTTGGTTTCTGCGGAGGGGTCGTTTCAGCTCAGACGAGAGAAAAACACGGGCGATGCGGGATGAACACACCCGATATTCGCGTAGCTCCATCGGCGACTCGAATGTGACCTCCAGCTGGCGCACGACGTGCACCTTGACGGGGTTGTTGTGGTCAAGCGAGTTCTGCTGCCGGCCGGAGCGCTCGCGCGGGAGGTTCAAGGACTTTACCCCGCTGCCGTGCGAGTCCTTGCCCTCGCTCACGCGGTTGTTGAACACCGTTATGAGGCAGTTAGTGTATCTGGCGCCGCGGTCAACCTGTATAGAGAGCGACGGCTTTTGGGATGGCGCTTACAGCTTGCCCATAATAGCTGTTCTGCGAATCAGAAGTAAGGTTATGCGACGTGGCTCGAAAAATTAGAAGCCGTCGGCGTACGGAGGTACGACTAGGGTCGGTTGTTGCTGTGAAACGGTTGTGAGTTAGCCTTCTAATCTACGCATGAATGAGGGTGGACCCGCGTACCGGGACACCCCAGAACAAGATCAGGGCAATAACGGCCACGCTGGCTAGAATTCGCGTGTCAGTTTCGCCCGACCCGCCCGTCTTGGCGCATTCAGCGTACCTGTGATGGCGTTGGTCTCGACGATGAGCCGGATGGCGCGCGTAATGAGACTCTGCGTGACAGGGAGCGACTTACCGCGCTCGCGTAGGAGCTGCAAATGCGGCGGATTAAAGTTAGTTTATCCCGTGCGGGGATACATGCAGATGCCGGCACGCACAGCCCACGCGAGCACACCCGCAATGGCGACATCAGCAACCGCGCCTCCCACGAGCCAGACCTACGGTGACGCCACCATCAGCCTCGCCGCGCCGAAGAACGCGGCGTACGTACCGTCTGCGGGACGACCTCCGTGCTGATTTTCGAGAGGTGCCCGAGTTCGTGGGCCTGCTGGCGCCGTAAGACGCGCTTGGTGTGCTGGGGAGATGACGCACCCTGACGGCTGTAACAACTCCAGCGGCACACTGGATCAGGGAGACCTGCGGCTCGTTAGTCGCGTACAATAAAATCTAGCGGAGATCTCACGAGGAGGATGAGCCCCGGGATGAGGAACCCCTTGCGCAGCAGGAAATAGATGCGCCAGCAGTAAAATGCCTGGACAATGAGCCCGATCAGGCCGTCGAGGAGGGGGACGTCCCACGAGTTAAGGAACGTGTCGTCGAGCCTCGCCATGTCGCCGAACCCGTAGACGAACCAGTGGAACGCGTCCGCGGTGATCATAGCGGTCTGCACAATGTCCAGGACTGCGAGCCCGTACACTGCGCGGGGGAGCAGATGAGCGGCGCCGACGGGCGAGTACGCGCGACGCACCGAGGACCTTGATCGCCAGCCGGTCGCTGGGGAAGTTCTCGTGGTAGAAGTACACCTGCGCCGCCAGAACGCCCATGAATCCCCAGTTGAGGCAGATACCCACCATCTGTGCACGCCGTCAGCGTATTTTGCGCGGGAAAAACGAGACCGACTGTAGGGCCCGTCCTGAGAACGTGGGTTAGACGCGTTGAAGCTGTAGGGAGACACATACATCATGGCGATGTCTGGGGGGATTCCCAGGGGCGTGGACATGATGAAAGGGAACGAGAATTTCTCTCTTGCCTCGGCTCATTAAGTATTTCATAGATGTGTGTGTCAGCGACAAGTACGGATGTTTCCGCCAGTTGATCACCAATGATTGCGTTGCATACATATCTGGTGCCTGAAACTGGAATCTCGACTTTAGAAACTGCAACTCTAACGGCACTATCAGAAGATGTGGAGGCGGCTGCACGCACGATTTCTTGCATTTCCAGGAGTCGAGCAGCACAAACTGTAGGTGAAATCAAAGTTAATACCATCATATCCGTTATCCGATGCAGTTCCGGCGTACTAATCTGCAGGGCAGTGCACAACCGCTGCTAGGCCAAAAAAAGAAAGACCTGCTGTACTTTCCTTCCTTTGCCTTCACGACCGTGCAAACCCAAGATTTAGCTTCTCTTTGATTGTGCAAGTGCTATAATTGCATTCGAATACGACAACGGACCAGCTCTTTGGAACTCACCGAAATGGCCATTTAACTGGTACTAGTTGACGAAACCACTTCTCGAATTCTCGCGAGCGCGTGAGTTCGGGAGAACCAGGCAATCTGAAGAGGCAGAAGTTTGACGGAAGTGGCTGTCGGGCTGGGAACGCGTGAATCACCGAAGCAAGATAGAACGACGTGCACCCTTGGTGCACCCAGCTCGGCGGCTGGCTACCACAAGTCGTTATCTGTCGTTATGCGTTGCTGCCTCGGTGATGGTCGAGTTTCAGCTTCACTGTCAGGGTACTGATCTGTCATGATGCGCCGAGTATTGCCGAGCGGCATGGCCACCGGCACCAAAATGTTGTCCATTCCTGGCAACTTCGGTCTACTTCGGTTGTTCTGGATTTTCTTTTGAGATTGAAATTTGAGATTCAAAGATGGTTCCGCGGAGGCTACGCCGGTCACATGTGAAAATCATCGCGAGAAAGAGTTCAGCTTTTGGACGCGTGCACTGTGCACATCTAGTTTCCATATCTGAGAACTTTGAGCGTGCATAGTGCAAGATTGACATGCAGCAATTTGAATATCAATTGTACGAGCTTCAAGCTGCTTCAACGCAACTAAGGGTTAAGTTAACGTTGACTGTTTGACCGTCGGCACGTTGGAGCCGCTGAGGCGAGCAGTAGGTAGATTAGTCTCGAGATGATGGGACGTAATGGGCTGTTCCGCAGTCCAGAAGAGTGATGCGACAGCTAGACAGACGGCTGACAGACTTCGAGGACACCGGACCATTGAGCCGACGTTGTGTGGTCCTGCATGGCAGGAGCTCCAGCATCGGAACCGGACGGCCGACAGCCTGTCTCTGCAAATCTGCCCCCCTCCAGCTCCTCGTGTCGGGCATCATGGGCCTCGCGTTCAGTGCGATCTTTTCGATGCGCATCGTGCCCTTTTGGCAGGGGCTCATCGCGGACCGGCGCCCCGGAGGTGAGCTGTTGGCTGACGCGCTTCCGCGCGGCCAGGTGTCGTTCTGGCCACTCGGCCTGTCCGGTACGTCGTCGCGCGCTCGCCGCGAAGTGGACTCACGGCGGTGCAGGCATCACGGCGCAGGGCAACAACGTCAAGGTTGCGGCGGGGAACTGGAACAATTGACGCCCGCGCCCTTCAGCTCGATGGTGTCCTGGCGCGCCGCAGCAACCCGGCGACGCCGGCTGTTCAATAGTGGCGAGCACAATAGACCGGCTCCCGACTGCGACGCTGGGAACGCCGCTGCGCGCGCCGCGACTTCGATGTGCCGGCGGCTGGGGGGCCGACTTGCGAGCGAGCGAGGGAGCTGGGTGTCGCGCATACGCCCCCCCCCCCCCCCCCCTCGGCTCGATCGCCGCTTTCGCGATCCTGCAGCGTGGGGACGAGCCGATGATCGTGTCGGACAGCGCCTCTCGCCTTCCGAGCCACTCGCTACCCTCCCCGCCTCAATGGCCAGCGAATCCCTGGGTGGGTGTCAGCGTTGTGCCCGGGCCCGTCCGCATTGCGCAATCCTCACGTTGCGCCTCGCCGCTGTCTGCAAGACGTACCTCCGGATCCCCGTGTCTGAGGTGAAGGTCTTGCTTGCGCCCGCCCGGTATTACGCCTCGGCATCGAGCGTGCTTCCCGATTGCGCTGTCGCCCGTGTACGCAAGTCCCCACCGACGGCGCGCACTCCCACGCGATGATCTTCGACGCCGTCCGCCTCGTCTCGCACGCGCAAGTCCCCGGTGGCGTGCGCGATCGCGATACCTTACGGCACCCGTACATGACCCCGCGCCCCGCCGTGTTCCTCAAGCCCGCGCCCGTGGTAGGCAGCTACTTGATGTACATATTCCACATAGACACTAATGCTCCAATGTACCGCGCGCTGGTGTCCTGCAAGTTTAACGACCTCGAAACGAACACCCTCCTGGGCTCGTCTCCCCTGCTGCAGGCCATCAAGTCTGGCACGCGCGCGCTCCAAGCCGCCGAGTCTTTCGCCCGCTCATCTCCCCCGCCGCAGTCTGTCACATCCGTCCATGCGCGCTGCCGCCTTCGCCTCCACTCAAGATTGTGCGCGATTTGGGACGCGGGGAGGAGGCGCGCGGAGTCGAGAGCGACATGGACGCATTGAAGCCAGAGTGCTGAGTATGCTCAATCAGACTTCCAGTTCAACTCTTACCTTTGCATGTTACATCTGCATGATCCCCTTTGTCTTTGTCGCTCGTTATTATGGATACATCTACCATACCACCCAATCCATAGTGTGCCATATCCTATATGTTGCTTAAAACTTCGGGCTTCAATACAAAAACGAAGCTGTACTATCCATGTTTCCATAAGAAACAGCATTTGTAGTACTCTAATTAAACAGCCTGTGCACGCCGCTGCAGCTCATCAACGACCTTTTCAGTTTCAAACCCACTACAGTCTCGGACTGGGGACCCAGGATCCCATTGCTTCCCGTGGCGCAAAGACCGCAAGCTGACAGTGACAGAGACAGGTTACTTACAGACAGAAACCGCCAGATTGACCAGGTTCTCTTCTATTACGAGCCATCAACTCGAGACTAATCTACCCCTACCTCCGCTGAGGCGGCATCCATAGCCCCGTGACCGCGTAGCTTACATCATCTGTCCTAGCTTTAGACCATATCGACCTTTCTGCCTTGCTTCCCCGCTGCCCCCGCTCGGGCCGTCCCCATGTGGTGATTGGAGCGCGATTCGCA